GTGGCCCCCGTCTGCTGAATAAACTGCTGCAAATTACACTGCCTCAGCTCCTTATTTAACTCCTCCAGCTCTTGGGTCTGGGCCTGCAAAACACACACCGAGGGGGAGGACAGGGTGAGCTGCGTGTCCCTCCCATGCCCCAAAACCAGCTGGCATACCCACCCCGGGGCTGCTTCCCCTAGCTGAGGCTTACCCTGCCAGAGCTAGCAGAGACCTCACGGGCAGCGTGGCTGAGCCACCCCTCTCTGAGGGCCTGTGGGAAGAGGGGATGAAGAAGGCATTGTTTTGGGAAGAGCCCTGCTTTGCTGCATCTCCACAAGAGGGTGCGAGCAGCCACCAGACTGTGGCCATTGTGGTGTTGGGAGATGCCAAACACAAATGAAATGCTCAAGACAAGATGCTGGAGGCATGGCCACCCTGGGGAAGGGCAGCTACCACTGCCTGGCTGGGCAAAAGCTTCTCCATTTTCCTCCACTGAAGGGGACCGGTGGGCAGAAAGCAGGCATCATGCAGTGCCTGTACTCCCTGAATCTGGGAGGCAGGCAAGCCAGGAAGCATCACAGCTCAGCCCCACAGCTGCCGTCACCACACTGCACAGGCTCCTGCACAGTTTGCATGGTCAAAAGGTTTCATGCACAGGCACCATGGGACCTACACTGTCCTATCCCCCTCTGTGACTCCTTTATCCAAGATGATATTTACCCTTATGCCAACGCCACTGACCCTGCACATGGACCATTTGCTCCGGCACCATTATCCATGCGGTAGCAGGGTGATGCTGTGCTTCCTGTGCACCAGCCAGGCGGAGACCCAGCCCAGATGCAGCTTGCACAGGGTCAAGCTGCATTTGTGTGGGACCCTGTTCTGGCTGAGTAAGAGCAGTGGTGTCCCTCTGACAATGGTTACTGCCACTGAGCCACCTCCACACACCCAGACCCATGTTCACCAGTCAGGTGTGGCAAGACCAACCCCACACAACCCATCAGCCCCCATACTGCTGGAAGGCTGGTCCCATTACATCCCGAAGGTCATAACACCCCATGGGGCTGCTTGACCTGGTCCTATCTACCTGCAGGTTCCTTTCAGCTTCCTCCAGGGCCTTCTCCACACTGGCCAGGTTGCTCTCCAGCTGGGTGCCTTGCTTGACCTTGGCCTCTAGGTCCCTTTTCATCTTGGCAGCCATGTCCTCCAGCTCTGTGGGGCTGGGCACAGGGATCTCCTTCCCCCTCTTGGCTCTCTCTGCCATCTCCCACTGGATCTCCTCCTGCAGGGCTTCGGTCCTGGCACTCAGCTCATAGATCCTCTGGGTGTACTCCTCCAGACTGGCCCGGAGGCTCCTAACCCGCTCCTGCCGCTCCCGCTCACACTCCTTCTCCAGCTGGAGCTCTGTCTGCCAAAACTCCTCCTCGCCCAGCTCTGTCTCGTTCCTCCGCACCAGGTGCTCCAGGTAGAGAATCTCATCCTCCTGACCTGTGAACCGGCCACGCTCCCAGAGCCGTAGGTCCGTCTTGGGTCCGTCTCCAGGGTGTCCCCATGGGCCTCCAAGGAATGCAGCTGTTCCTGCTGCCGCAGCACCCTCCTAAACAGCTCCTCCTTGGAAGGCTGGAGGATCCCACCACCCTCCAAGTCCATCCCTTCCCGTGCTTGGTGCCTCCATCGGCTCATGACAAATGGGTCACCTGCAGGACCCAAGTTGAAAGTCATGGATTTTTTTGGCTCCCGGGAACGGGGTGCATCTGTGCTGGCAGGCCTGGGCTTGATGGGCAAGCTGGCCCGGATGAACGTCCTCTCAGGGGCTTGGGGGGGCACCCCCCAGGGGGGCCGGCC